GTGGCTGAGGCTCTCACTAGTGAAACTCGGACACAACGAGATCACTTTGCCGTTGTCCCGTTATCCTGTTTTGCTCATGGCAGAAACGGAACATTCTAGGAAAGCTGCTTCCTGCTCGTTCAAGGTTCCCACATTCCAGGTTCATGCTCACTTGTGTGCTTAGGATGGTGTAAGGAAGCTCACAGCTAAGACACCATGGCTGCAGCCCTCGGTTCACACACAGGAACACAAATGACTGGCTGCCCCCACATTTCCAACGTTACCTCCAGGTGAAATATGAACCGGTTTCTGTGACGTTGCACCTGAAAGTGCATGCACAGAAACGGAGCTTGCTGTGTTGCCCTGGCCCCCGCTGCCACGACCTGGTTTACCCCCCTGCCCCTTGGCCCCCTCGTTCATTCGCTTCCTTCTCAGACGTGTTTTGCTTTCCTGTCTAACACTCTCTTGCAGGATTGGTCTCTATTTCTCAGACAGTGCATGTCCCCTGCCTATCTCTCTCCTGTCTGTTTGTCCATTTAATTAATTCATTTGTTTGTTTATTGTGCCTTCATGGCTTCTGGTCATGAAGATAGACTTACTTTGTGCTGGCCAAGCCTTACGCTTACTGATGGGTCCTGGATGATAAAGATTATCGGAGAGATGCACAGGTCAAATGAAACCTCCCCCACTGCATGGCTTATAGGGTCACTTACCTGTGTGCTTTTTGCTTTATTGCTGCAAACAATGTTACGACGCAAGAATTGCACGTGCATTAACACTGGATGCAATGCAAGCACGCCCCGAGAAAAAAACAGAGCCTGCTGTCTTGTTAAACTCTCAGCTTTGTTGGAGTAACTTCATGAACTCTTCCTTAGGAATTGATGTGCTTTCAGTTGGCCGGTCGTAATGCTGCTGCACCTCTGTAGTGTCAAGGTCAGTGTCCTTCTTCTGTACACCTCAAGTCACCCATCCCATCCCATCCGAGTTTCAGAGCCATTCATAATGGAATGTTCCGGAGCTCAGCTGCATCACCCTGCTGCCCGGGGCAACCCGCCCTCGCCTAACTGTCCCCTTTTCTGCTGCCCTGCCGTTCATTCGCTATACCTTCAGTCTCTGTTCATATTTCTCACCTCTGACCCCTCTACCCCCCACTCCAACATGGACCATGAAACTGAACACTTGGGATCTGCTGGAGTTGATTTGCGGGAATCGGCAGCGAGCATGAGCACAGTGGTGAGAGCATGTCCCCAGACTGCGTCGCGGTGCTTACATATCAGAGGGATTTGTTCAAAGGGCACTGCTGCAGTGCCACAGGGCAGACAGGATGAGGGGAGCAGAATATTGAACGTCGTACCCCATACTAAAGTCAAAAAATCACAAACGGCTGTTCAGGCAGTGACCTCCCTGTCGTAAACGGCTGCTCAGGCAGTGACCTCCCTGTCATAAACGGCTGTTCAGGCAGTGACCTCCCTGTCATAAACGGCTGTTCAGGCAGTGACCTCCCTGTCGTAAACGGCTGCTCAGGCAGTGACCTCCCTATCGTAAACGGCTGTTCAGGCAGTGACCTCCCTGTCGTAAACGGCTGTTCAGGCAGTGACCTCCCTATCGTAAACGGCTGCTCAGGCAGTGACCTCCCTGTCGTAAACGGCTGTTCAGGCAGTGACCTCCCTATCATAAATGGCCTGTAAATGCATGTATGTAACTGTCTTCCCGAAATGACTATTCTTGTCTTGCACACGCAGACACGGAGCGGGGTAGATGAGGGGACTTGGCACACAAGAGGATCGGCATGTTTGGTCAGAAAACTTCATAACAAAATGACTGTTTAGTCTGTAACCTCCTTCCTGAAATGACTTTGTTTTGTAACCTCTCTCCCAGAATGACTGTTTGGTCAGAAAACTTATTAACAAAATGACTGCTTTGTCTGTAATCTCCCTCCCAGAATGATTGTTTGGTCTGTAACCTTCTTCCAAAAATGACTGAGAGATCTATAAACTTCCTCTCAGAGATTGTTTGGTCTGTAACTTTCCTCCCAAAATGACTGTTTGCTCTGTAACCTCCATCCCAAAATAATTGTTTAGTCTATAACCTCCCTCCTAAATGAAACCTTATATTTATTTTTAGTCTTTCATTTAAAGCTGTTTTCCAGGAAATAGAATGAGTAAAGATTACTACATTTTAAGTATTTTTATAATGTTTCCAGCATGTCTGAGAAATAGTTTCCTGATCTTATTTTTGTTTCTGTAGGTTTGGATAACAAATGAAAAAAGAATGAGCATTTGCCATTCAAGAGAATATTGTCTTTGTTGCAGAACTTGATACAACCATATAAGATACCAATATTCTCTTAAGAGGTTTTGGAAAAGAAGTGCACTCATGTTTTTGTTTGGTAGGATTTAGGGTGCTGTTGTCTATGAGTGGAATATCCTAACCCTGAAACACTGTCTACTTTATTTTGCCTGAGTGAAAATATAGAGAAAACTGAAAAGAGCAGAATGTCATTCAGAAACATTGAGATGACTGATACTGAGTCAGTAAAATACAACGTTTCCATATCACATGACTTAAGGGCTGTTCAAGTTAAATTGTTCATATTTCAGGATAAATATCGTCCTGGGCAAAAGAAATGTATTATCTACTGATTGCCTTCCCTCTATTTCTAGGTTGTTAACATCACTGGGTAGGGATGGTGTAAGGAACCAGTCATTTTTTCAACTAGATCTTTAACCCATTGGTGGCGTCTGTGATTGTCATTGTCAGTGGCACTAGTGTAGCATCACAATGGAAACGGAGACTGTTTGGAGCAAACTGATTGGCCAAACGTTCCGTGTCTGTGGCATGGTGATTAGAGTCGGTGATGAGTAGGCCGTGAAACTAGCCAATAGGGAGACTGGGCCGCCCGGTTTACACGTCAGGTGTGAACCTGGAGGGACATCGAGGTTTGTGCTGCTGGCCTCGTGTCTCCAGCAGCTGGAGGAGACCTTCCTCAGCATCTGCACTGCAAAGCAGGATGATGAGCAGATCGATGAGCAAAGCCCAGGACACACTCAGATTGTTACATAGAGATTATTTATAATTTGTCATTAATTGTCAAGATACTGTCTTTTCCTGAAATTATGTTGTACGTTAAGTAGATAAGTATATCATTTTTTTTTATGAATACATAATTTTAGTCATGTACTATTTGTTTATTTGATATTTTTTGTACTAAAGTGATTTTACTAGAAATGAGTAGATGTATTCTCCTGCGAATAGCTTGACCATCACGTATAGAACACTACAATTCTTGTTTCTCTGAAGTATTTACACCGTATTACAGCAGCCTGCAGACAAAGTCAGTGTTACGGAATGTGGCCTGAGCATCCTGAGTATTGTTCTGTTCCAAATTTTCATCGTTATGGTCATGGTCATCGTCATAGTTACTGTCCCATATTTGTGATTCTCTTAGGGCTGTTTAGTGTTTGGGGGAATCTGGTGAATTCTGTAGGTACCTGAGGATAAGTGATATTTTAGGTTTATGTCTGATGTTGCAGAAACAGGAGAAACATGATTTCCTCTCACATGCTGCGCACAAGGCATTCCAGCAAGCTATTCGTTGTTCAGGTCACAACAGATACAGTGTGGGAGTTCAAGTAAATATATACGCGTGTTGGCATTTGGGGCAAAAGCACAGCTTGTCTATCCTCGAGGAAACAGAGCTGCTTTCCGTCTCCCAGGAGACCACCTGGGAGGTTTATGGGATGCTGGTTCGGCTGGCAGAATTAGCACAGAACAGAGAGGGGCTGAGCTGGAAGGGTGGAAGGTCTACGGGGTCGTGGGGGTGCCGACAGAGAGGGGCTGAGCTGGAAGGGTGGAAGGTCTACGGGGTCGTGGGGGTGTCGACAGAGGGGCTGAGCTGGAAGGGTGGAAGGTCTACAGGGTCGTGGGGGTGCCGACAGAGAGGGGCTGAACTGGAAGGGTGGAAGGTCTACGGGGTCGTGGGGGTGTCGACAGAGAGGGGCTGAGCTGGAAGGGCTTAAGTGCACGTTGCTCTGGGTAGCAGGCTGCAGTACTCAGGCATGAATATTAGTTCATGTTTCTCTCTGGTATAATGACCATTTGGTTTAAAAAAACACAAATTAGATCCATCGACATTGGCACCGATTCCATGTGCATCGCATAGTGAGAATGAGCACCTCACTAATACTAGGTATTTTTCATCAGATATGCTGTGGGCATGAATGCTGGTCTGTATTACGTAAGAAGCTGCTGCATTCATTAGTGGGGATTTATTGTACCTTTTCTCTTACTATGTCAAGTTACTATTAATATCCATTCAGCAGCCGTGAGGCACCATTCCTCAGCCTCCCACACTCAGACTCTTACCCAACACTATTGACACTTGTGCTGTCTGTCTTTGAGCCCCCGCCTCGCTTTGAAGCTCACGTCTGCACTCTCCAGAGACTACACCGTTCCGTTCACCTTGACTGCCGTGTGTTTACGCAGTGTCACAGAGTCCAACAGTGCTGTGCGTTGCCCGGAAACCCACTTGTACAGCCAATCGCATGGCGCAGAGCTGACTTGGAGGGATGTCCCATGATTGGCTGATCTCGCGGAGGGGCGGGCCCGTCTCCAATTTGTGTAACGAATAATTGTTTGCCCATGAAGTGCATGTCCTAAGACTTACATCATCACAGGCTTTTTTTCACAGTGTAGGTAAGGAGCCCAATAGTATTACCATATAGCCAGCCAACAATATTACCTTCTTTGAGCCGTTCTGTTATTTTCACAAAATGCTAATAACTACATGGCAAATTAATTTCCCTTGAGCTGATCATCAGGACGTGTCTTGCTGTACATTTCCGAACGGCTGTTCTGCCTGTAAGCGGAGTCCACATCCTCCATCACACAGTGCATGAGGAATGCACCCATGCGCATTGCCATCAACGTCGTGCTATCTACTGGAGCCCCTTCCAGCCTCTCCTTCCGCCTCCACTGTGCATACCGTTTGCTCTGCTCTCTCTCTCCCACTCCCCCAGCAGAACTTGTACCAGAACCGCTTCCTCGGGCTGGCGGCCATGGCCTCCCCCTCGCGGAGCTCCCACGGTCGCCGTCGCTGCAAGGACCCGGCGCGGCACAGCTACAATCCCGAGCAGTTCCAGCAGATGGCGCTGCCGGACGGCGGCCCTGAGGCGACCCCCGCACAGCGATCCACCAGCGACACGGACTTACTCACCTGCCACAGCCGCTCCACACTGGCCGTCAGCAGCTCCTTCTACGCCATCGGCCAGTCGCAGGACATCGTGCTCTCGTGGGACATCAAGGAGGAGGTAGATGCCGGGGACTGGATCGGCATGTACCTCATCGGTGAGCACTGCAACGCCAGTCGGGGAAGCCGTCAGATGTGTCATGTACATCGTTTGAACAGTAAATAAGCATCTCTTCGGTTTTACGTCGCTGTCAGTCGCCTTTACCGAGCCGGCCCTTCTGCAGTGGAAAACCAGACCGAGCTGGAACCGTGCTGTAACTAGTCTCTCTGTGTCTTATGGCTCAGGTACAGCTCGTGGAAAAGCGTCATAAATGTGTTGCTAACAGCTATTTCCCTTAAGGTGCGTTAGGGAATCTCTAGATGCTGAGTGGTCTCCGGTCTTCTCTCATTTGCAGACGAGGTCCTGTCCGAGAACTTCCTTGACTACAAGAACCGCGGTGTGAACGGCTCCCACAAGGGCCAGATCGTGTGGAAGATCGAAGCCAGCTCATACTTTGTGGAGTGTAAGTGTGCGAGATACATGCCAGGCCAAGGGAGGCATAGTTAAAGATGAACCTTCATGGGATGGAGAGCGAGCATCTGACTCCATGGAGTAGTGTGGTCCTGCCCTGTAGAGCATACAGACCGGCTGTAACGCGGAGAGTGAGCGCCTGTCTCCCTGGAGTAGTGTGGTCCTGCCCTGTAGAGCATACAGACCGGCTGTAACGCGGAGAGTGAGCGCCTGTCTCCCTGGAGTAGTGTGGTCTTGCCCTGTAGAGCAGGCTCTTGCTCCTTAATGAATGTGACATTTGCTCTCTGATACTCGCTGGCTGCCTGTCCGTCGCTGGCTGCCCGTCGCTGGCTGCCCGTCGCTGCCTGTCCGCTGTGTTGCCTTTTCCGACCAGAGACAGAGAGGGCTAAACCTTTCCAGGACCCAGATACTTGTCCTACCCCTTTGATTTGTGTTTCTTCCTTTTCTGCAGCCGAGACAAAGGTCTGCTTCAAGTACTACCACGGCCTGAGTGGGGCACTGCGAGCGACCACGTCCTGCGTGACTGTGAAGAACCCGTCCGCACCGGTGAGTTCACTGCACTGCTGCTGCAGTGTCTGCCCGCTCCTTCCTGCTTTATTTACACTGTACTTCACTGTGTTTGCCCATAGAGAGCTCCAGTGGTCAATAGCAAGGTGTTCTCTTGGATCCTTGTGTTGGGTAACGTCTGAGAATCATGTTTATTTTTGGATAGCTGGGTCATTTCTCTTCTTTTGCCTTATTTTGTTGTTTTTTTTGTCAGTAAAGCAAAATGAACCACACCTGCAGAGTGTGAGTGAGCAAGTTCTAGGACTTGTGTGGGTGAGCTTGTAGTCATAAGTCCGGTTTCTTAACTGAATTGCCACCCACTGCATTGTTCTGATGTTATCCTTCAGAGGTCGTTCTGTTGCGTTCTGTGGGAGAAGTCTTTTATATCTCATAATGCTGTAGACCAACATCTTTCCCCTCAATATGATAAACAGCTCGTGTCCAGCCGTGGATTCCCATATGGCAGGGAAGGTTAGTCAGGAGCAGGATGGAAGCGTGAAGGTGGAATCACATGATGAGTCACATGACACAGAAACGGGGCAGCCCCAGGGACACCAACATCTCTTTCTCACTTCTGTCACTAATCTGCTCTTAATCCAGCTCACAGAAGCTCAGTTAGACACCTGCCTGTGCACATGATTTCTGAGATGGCGGCCTGATGAGTTCATCACGCGCCAAGGCCACATATGAGTAAATTAATGAGCTAGACCTCTCGATTTCGGCTCCGCCCGGCGTGACGGTTCAGGGGCTCTGCAGCCAACCTAAATGCTTTATTATACATTAAGTGGCAACAGGGCATGCTGATGCTGATGCTGAATTAAACCCTCATGTTTAAGCGGATGATACAGCTTAATTTGGAACGGCCTCAGCTTCCCCCCCACACACACACCTTGCACAGATGGGTGTCGCCTTATGTCCTGTGATGGACTGGCATCCCGTCCAGGGTGTCCCCTGCCCTGTGCCCTGTGATGGACTG